TCTTTTAAACCGAACTGTAAAACTAAGAAAAAAACTTTACATCTAAGTGGTGGTGCAATGGTTAAGCGCTTGACTGCTAACTGAAAAGTTGGTGGTCCAAACCCACCAGTAGCTCCACAGGAGAAAAGACCTGGTGATCTGCTCCCCTGAAGATTACAGCCTAGGAAACCCTCTGGGGCAGTTTCACTCTGTCCTATAAGGTCCCTTTGAGTCGGAATTGACTCAGTGGCACATGTCAACAACAACAAAAGTAAAATCGTGCACAGTATATTCAAAATAGCATTAGACTAGGAGTCAGTCAAAGTCACTCAATGACCTTGAGCAGAACACATCTAAACTTTCTGTACTTCAATTTCTCTATCTTAGGAGATAATTCCCATAAAATTGTTTATGAATACCAAATGAAATAATTTATAAATTTTAAAAACCCACAATAATACCAAAATTGAGTAAAAAAAATTCAATAAAGTAAAAAATAAAATGCTGGTCACATTTTTTTTAGGTCAGACATTCAACACAACCATTGACATTTACATCCCTGCAAAAGGCCCTCTTGGCTAACTGACATGACTTAATACCAAAAGGAGGAATAATTATCAGAAGTCTTCAAAATCCTTTCAAAAATAACAGAGAGAAGGTTAAACAGAGGCATTCAAATCCTCCTGATTTCCCACTAAAATGATGGTAAAGAAATAAAGATGGTATTAACTGACAAGAACAAATAAAATAGGAGAAGAAACCCTGGACAACAGATTAAGTTTTTGGAAGATGGAAAGCAATGAAGGAGTGGGCAATGTCTTAACAGAGCAGAGAAAGCTATTTGGGCTGAAAGATGGCAAGGAATTCTCTTAGCCCCATTCAGCAGCACCTGATCCTCTATGGGTAGATACACTCATATCTTATAAATACAAATTCCATGCCAGCATTCATCATGAGGAGCAAAGTATCTGGTGCATATTTAGTAAGACTTTCTTTCTTTCTAATTTTTATTTTATCAAGGTAAACATGGTCAACATTCTAAAAGCCAAATATGACAGTCAAGTATTCTAAGTCATCTAATGAAAATCAGCACTCTCCCAAACTTCCAAACACCTAGTTCTGCTCTTCAAAGACAACCACTTTCAATTCTTTTAGCTGTATTTTTCTGTATTTACCTCTGTATTTCTAAATATTATGCTCAGATAGGCAGGACTTGATTATAAATTTTAGATATTTCCTTTCTATTACTGAGAATGAGGCTCTAATTCTCTTATACCATACCTCATTTCCCCTCCCATCATCTTCTAATATAATTGTCCTATTGTTATGGATTGAACTGTGTCCCCCAAAAATGTATGTCAACTTGGCTAGGCCATGATTCCCAGTAGTGTGTGGTTGTCCTCCATTTTGTGATCTGATGTAATTATCCTATGTGTTATAAATCCTAACCTCTATGATGTTAATGAGGCAAGATTAGAGGCAGTTATGTTAATGAGGCAGGATACAATCAACAGGATTAGGGTATATCTGGAGTCAATCGCCTTTGAGATATAAAAGAGAAGGGGAGCAGAGAAGAGAGGGACCTCATTATCACCATATAAGAAGAGCCAGGAGTGGAGTGTGTCCTTTGGACATAGGGAGTCCCTGAGCTGAGAACCTTCTAGACCCAGGGAAGGACTGATGCCAAGACACATGGAAATTTCCAAGGAACGCTGGGCCCACAGATGTTGAAATGAGAAAAGGACCTTCCCCCAGCGCTGACAGAGACAGAAAGCCTCCCCCTAGAGCTGGCACCCTGACTTCAGACTTCTAGCCTCCTAAACTGTGAGAAAATAAATTTCTGCTTATTAAAGCCATCCACTTTTGGTATTTCCGTTATAGCAGCACTAGATGACTAAGACAACTATTAAATTTGTTTGGAGTCCCTGGGTGGAGCAAACAGTTAATGTGCTCTGCTGCTAACCAAAAGTTTGGAGGTTAGAGTCTACCCAAAAGAGCCTCAGAAGAAAGGTCTGGTGATCTACTTCTGAAAAATCAGCCATTGCAAATCCTATGAAGCATAGTTCTACTCTGACACTCATGGGGTCGCATGAGTTGGAATCAACTCAATAGCAACTGGATGGTTCATATTATATTTGTTTCAATTAATACTGAGTATTAACATTTTTATGACTACCGAAATGTAGTAGTGTGCTATGACTGTATCCTATCGTGTATAACTTTTGTTTTTCTTGGAGATCACTGTATCCTTTATTCATATGCCTAATTTTCTACTTAAACCTGCCAACAGAACTGTAAAACTTTCCTCAATATTATTCTGGCATGATCAATAGCATCAATCAGTTGACTGCTTCCCCTTTTTTCTTACAGCCATCCCTCCCTCTACTCTGATATAGAATATTTGCTGCCTAAGCCTGCTGTCCAACTTTCTTCCTTGTACTGCCTAAGTCTCTTCTGGAAATTTATATTTTTCTAAAAAACTTTACACTTCATCTAAGTTTTCAAATTCACAGGCCCAAAATTGTTTGTGGTATTCTCTAGTGAATTTCTGCATCTCTCCCCCTTTTCACTGCTATATTGTTTATTTTTGTTTTTCTTCCTTTTTTCACTTTATCTACCTTGCTAGATATGGTATTTTACTTTCTAAGAACCAGCTTTTGGTTAACTGAATTTCTAAAATAAGTATAGCATAATGGTTAAGAACACTGGTTCTAGAATCTGACTATTTCTGCACTAACTAGCTGTGGAACTTGGGTAAGTCACATAAACTCTTTGTGCCTCAGTTACTTGCTTCATCTATAAAAAAGGGGATACAAAACCTTCCCTAAATGGTAAAGGGGGCTCAGGATGTCTACAATGTTTGTGCAAACCATATGGGTCATTCTTAACACCTGCTCTCCTTCTGGGAGTCTAGCATTTCGTATGTACTAAGCAGACAGTGCCTATGTGGCCAGCCCTCAATAAAAACTTTGGGTGCTGAGTCTCTTATGGGCTTCCCTACTAGACAATATTTCATATGTACTGTCACAACTCATTGCTGGGGGAATTAAAGGTGTCCTATGTGACTTCCCTGGGAGAGTACTCTTAGAAGTGTGCACCTGGTTTCCTCCAGACTCTATCCTATGCGCCTTTTCCCTTTTTGCTTTGTATCCTTTCCTTTTGCTGCAATCTTAGCTGTGAATACAACCATATGCTGAGTCCTGTGAGTGTCCTTCTAGTTTGGAGGTGGTCTTGGGGACCCTGACACACAGAGGCCCTTCTCTTTAAGATTACCTGAGGAAACACAGGTATCCAATTAGACCAGGCACAATCTATCCCTTAGGCATAAAACAGACAAGTGGTATGGCAAATCTGCAGTAGTCTGTCTAGTAAGAGGTACTGAACTGAATTGAAGGAGAGAAACCTTTTTGAAAAATTAAGGCGTAGGAACCTTTTTCAAATGTTGCCAAGGCTAATCAAAATTTGAATTGTTCTAAAGAGACAACTACCGAGGTCACAGAACAGAATTTTGTTCCACTTCTAATTCTGAGTTGAATACATAGTGCCACTGTCATCTCTCTGTGGTTGCCTCTGAAGAGGATGTGGTGAAGGACAGAAGACATGAGGTCCAAGAAAGTCAAAGGCTATGGCTCCAAATTAGGAAAAATTTCCTAATTCAGAAAAAGAAAAGCGAAAAGAATTGTTCTAGATCTAGGGAGAAATCTTATATCCCTAGTCCATGATCTTCCTATATTCTCTTCAGAGTTACAGAAGTAATCTCTCATCAGTACAATACAGGAGTGTTACTACGTGAAGAGAACTGTACCTAGAGCATTTAACTTTAACTTTTAACTTTTACCCTAGAGCATTTAACAATAGAAACGTTGAGACTATACCTCTAATATCAGGGTCTGATGAGTTCCACCCATTTCATCATACAGGATGCAAGAGCTACAAAGTATTTTACATAAATTGTAATCCACACGCAAATCTGCCAAAGTGGGTCATATTATCAGTTTACAAATGAGAAAACTCAAGAGTTATTAAGTGACCTACTAAGTAAGAAGGAGAACTGAAATCCTGAGTCTAAGTTTGCCCACCCTCAAAGCTGATGCTCCTTCCACTTCAGCATGCTGCCTCCCGTATGAAGAATTTTCCCTCAGGAGTGTTCCTCTACTTTCTGAAGGGCAGAAACAGGGTTGGTGTTGAAGATGCAGATCTGACTAAAAAAGTATCAGAGATTTTTAAAAAGTAGTTATTCTCACCTCCCTTCCTCCACTGATTTTGCTTGTTAGTAGCAAAAGGGAAGAAAGAAGAATACAATCCCTTTGTCCAGTCTTTTCAAGACTGGTCCTCTAACAATAAGAGGAAAAATCTGGCTGAAGAATAGGGCACAGGTCTTCCCTAGGAGATGGCACAGGATGGATGATATATATATACAGCGGGGCTAAACCCCATCTAAAAAGCTCCCCAGGCTACAGACCTTTGTTCTAACAGGGATGCTCCCTCAATCTTTGAAGAAACCAGAGTCTAAGTCTTTGCCTCTGCATCCTGACTTCTAGCATTTCCTAGGGTAAAAGTCCATTCACTGAAGATATACAAATATGAATATACAAATATTTATACTAAAAAGTATATATAAGTATGTATGTATGCATGTGTGAGAGGTGGTTGTGAGAGGAACACATGCAAATTTTAATAAAAATTTAACAGAGATGAAGCAGGAAATTACTAAAATTTGATTTAGAACAAATATGTATTTCCTTTGTATTTTTACTTGCTGCTAACGTGGAACATATAACCAAATCACACTATTTTACCTTATTATAGTCAATGAATTGACTGTAAAATTAAGATACGACACTGAAGGAAAACAAGCACACTATTAATAACCATAAGCAGAGTTAAATATGTTTCTCTATCTTACTTCTATTCCTTTCTCTTCTCTAGGAGAGCAGAAAGTTATGGCACTATCTCAACCAAAATGTTATTTGAATAAGATTTATTTCCAGTGATAAAAAATTAATTTCAAAATTGCTTACCGTCATGAATTTCATAAGCCAAACTAGTGATCTTCTGCGTAATTATCATCATTGGGCTGTGATAAAATAAAAAATACATATTTCAAAAGAAGACATTTAAAACAGTAGTTATGAAATATGAGTTTATTTTGCTTATATGACTACAAAATCCTGAAATTATTAATAAAAAAGGACCTCCAGAGGATTTCAAAGAAATTACTCGTGAGCTACCATATTTGGGGAAGGTACAGCCAATAGGCAATCTGGGCCTTCTCTTTGCTTTAAGAAGAAAAGAAAAAGGCTCTGTCCGAAGGGCCAGAAGACAGAAGGGGACAGGAAAGCTGGTGATAGGAAACCCAAGGCTGAGTAAGGACAGTGCTGAAGTGTTGTGAGGTTGTTAACCACTGTCATAGGGCAACATGTGTAGTAACTGTTACATGAGAAACTATATTGTTCTGTAAGCCTTCATCTAAAGTGAGAACAGCAGCACAATTGGAAGAGCGTAGTCGATGTCACTCAACTGTGCATGTAGAAATTTTTAATGGTGTATCTTTGGCTATGTATATTTTCACAAAAAAAAAAAAAGGTCGAGAAGGGAGAGGGTTGACATGTTGTGGGGTTGTTAACCAATGTCATAAAACAATATG